TTTAGTTTTTTTTTTTTTTTTTTTTAGTGTTTTGAAGATTTCATCTTTATAAACAACATGGAACTGTTTGAAAATGAAAAGAAGTGAAGAATGATTGAATGAAGACTGTCTCGCCCACGGTTTTTGACCGTGGTTTTCCCGTGGGACAAAGGGTAAATGCCGAGACAGGGACTTGAGGAGTCTTTTTAAAGGCGAAGGGTCCACGGAAGCTACCCCCCTCTTGTCCGAAAACTCGATTGCAAGACGCTTGGGTGCAAGGTTGATTGGGACCTAGGAACGAAGCTCGGTAACTTGTAGCAGAAGCTCAAGGTAGAGCAAGAAAATCGTTTGGGTGTCCTGGAATCAACGAAATAAGGACCGACGATTTACGCTTGGTAACTTACTGCAGCAGCATAGGGTAGAGCGAAGAAAAATTTTGGTACCCTATAGTCATCACAAAAGGACATTGGAACTCTGAAATAATTGTCGGGACGACAATTTTGAAGAAAGGGGGAAGTGTTGCGTCCTCGCCGTTTTGATTTTTGTCGCCCGATATCGCGTTTGACAGCTGATAGAACCGCGATCGATATATTGATTTGCGGAGTTAATAAAAAAGGATAGTTGCTAAGAAATAGTAAATGTTTAACAGTTACTAGGATATTGAAAATAAACAAGTTGTTGCTAAAAGAATGTAAACAAGGAGACAGATGTCAGATTTTCGGGAGCTGCAGAAAAATGCGGACGTGTTTCTGCTAGCTCAGCGGTGTACAATTTAAACGGGCTTGTTTTGTGTTATACCCTTCAGTGGTTGAGTGAAATAAAGTTTCTGTTGTGTTCTTAAAAGTGTTCTTTCTTTTGTGCGTGCCGTTTGTGACGGAAAGACCGTTCGCGAGCGCAATAATATACATATATACACGTATTCCTATAGCACGTATTAATCACCCCGTGAGAATTGTAGAATTAATGAATGCCTTTTTATTCCCTCTCCGAGTTGTTGTGATGAAAGTTGTAGTGATTATTCATTAGTGCATTTAAGAATTATTTATCGTGACTTTTTATAGATATATTCTCGAGCCATTAACAGTTTATTGTAGTTAATGTTACACATTTTTTCAACGAAAGTTCGATAAAATCCAAGTGGGTCTATGCGCCAGGAGATTCGATTGAAAAAGGTATCATTCCTTCCTTTTTTTCAAAATAAATACTCGATGTTCTAACGATGCTGCATTCTTTGATCCTCGCGATCGAAGGATAAAAAATTCATTAACAATATATCAATTTGCAGGTACAACTGGACGGGAAATGCTTGACGGAGCGATATAAGTGTTAGCCGGCGCCAGTTATGTGTCGTCATATCTAGACGGCTACGTCACACCGTGTAGTCTAGCCGCTGCAAATTGCGACGCTGCACAAACTCGTCCAGTGCCTCCATCAACGCCGTCCGCGTGAGCTGACACGGCGAATTATTTTCTACGCGGTGCATTTCTCAGTTGCGTAGCGCGCATCCGGAGGCCAAGATGGCATGGAGGATGAATTGGGCCCTGCTGATAGCGATAATTATTCCAACTATCGGCGGCTCGATCATCGGCGAGGTCTTCGTGAAGAAAAATATGGCCTGGTACGAGGTGAGAATCGTGCGTGACGCGCCGGCACGTCACGGCGTGATTGCATCGCGGTGCGGCAAAGATAAAAGCGCCAAACGTCTCTTTGCGCGCTTGTTTTGCGCGCTGTAATTGTAAATGATAAATGTTTAGGCGAAGGTAATTTTTAATGAGCAGAATCGACGCGCGAACAATCGCGAGGAGCTGCGTTATTCGAATCCTTCGATTTATTTTCGATTTTTGCTTTAATATGACAAATGAGGATCTGCCTGTAAAGCGTTACGTTTTCAATACCGCAGTAATTATATCGTTGTTTATGATTACGTGTAATTATATTTGTTTATAATTTATAATTACAATTATAGCTGTGTTGTCTTATATAATAATTATATATATTATTTTATATTTATAAATATTTATAACTTTGTATTATTTATATATAATTATAAATATAATTTCTCTAGCAATCGTAATTATAAAATAGAGTGAAGAGTTGCACGCTATTTATAATTATAATCACAATTTATATATTCACTCAGGCGCAAATTCCAGAAAACGAAACGAAAGAGAGAGTGAGAGGGAGAAGGGAGGGGGAGAGAGACAAACAGATCTTATCTAAGAATCTACTTCTAATCATTATCGCGAATAATTATAGCTGCAAATCTAACCGCTTATCAATTTCTGTTTGTTTCTTCCGGTGAAAAAAAACTCATAATTGCAAGTAATCGCTTGCTCAACGAACGCAAACGAATCACAGATTATATTGCTTATTTTCGTTCGGTGAACGACTGAGCCGTTTATAATGTTAAAATTAACCAGCCGACGTATTTTTCAATGTTTTTTTTTTCTGAAAATTTCCCTGCAATTAAATTAATGGATCCAAAATATCTTTCCTATTTTTCCTCTCAAACAATTACGCTCGATAACGCAAGGGGTGATACTGATACGGCTAATATTTCAGTACGGGGTATTTTTATTTCGTTTACACAAGAAAGAGAGAGAGAGAGAGAGCGAGGACTTAAGTAAACCGTGAGAGTAACTAAGATCTGTACCTAATATCGATCGCGGAAATGCCCAAGTGTTTACACTAAATTACACCTTATCGCTAATGATATAATAACATGTAATATTCCTTTCTTGTATGTATAAGATAATATCATAGGATGTTTCGTCGCGCCTAACTCGGTACACTCTCGCCCTAGTCGCTGAAAAAACCCAAGTACAATCCACCGAAATGGGCGTTCGCGTTCGTATGGACCGCTCTCTACTGTGCGATGGGCCACGCGTCCTACCTAGTGTGGCGGGACGGGGGTGGCTTCGAGGGGGCGGCTCTACCCCTCAGCGTTTATGGCGTCAATCTCGCCCTCAACTGGCTGTGGACGCCGCTCTTCTTCGGGATGCACCAACTAAAATGGGTATACACGCGCGCGCGCGCATCTAAAGTTAGATCTAGGACCGTTCGAGTTTTCGTAATAATAACTTTCACATTACCGGCTTTGGAAAACGGTGTACTTAAAATAGATCTCTTCGACGCCACTTAAGAATAATCCCTAAAAACGATCAATAAGACTAGATTTGGAGCTTCGGACAATCACGACGCTTTTCTAAAGAAATTCACATTTCTAAAAAATGGAGATTGCGCGCATCGTAAAGCTACGTGCAAATAGTTTTGTGTGACGCACAATCTCCAGTTTTGGAACTGCGATAATATATTTAATCGCTTGCAGCAATGACCGATTCGGCGACCGCGGAATTTCGCAACAGATTAACGGCGCTCGTATTGTTATTCAGATTTTTACGAATGAGTTTCTTGCCGAGCTAAACGCAAGTCGGCATGTGCGCAACACGTTGCTGCCGAGTCCGACGTGGAGAAGTTATCACGTTGCATAGCACGTTGTTCTAGCGCGAGTGGTTAAAGCGGTTAGGAAAAAATCTTATCGATCTCTGCGAATTGCTCGAACGGCCCCATTTGCCGGATGCGGTTTCGAACTTAAAGCGAACTTGAGTCACTTCCGGAGCGATTGATATCAACTGGTGTTTCCTGAACTTCATGAGCGAGATTCTCGCAAGCTGAGTTTCGAAAACGAGAAGTCGAATGTGTGTTTTGCAGATTTCAATCACTCTCGCATTAATCCGGAAGCGCGGTGTCAAGTCACCAATTGCTCTTGGAGCGACTCAAATTCGCCTGAATGAGAAAGAAAGGCGCATTAAATAACCGTTCTACATTCGCAAGCAGAGTCTCTACGAAGTTGTGATGTTGGACGCCAGCACGGCCGCGCTCGGGATCGTGTTTTATCCAGTCAATTCCGTTGCTGGTTACATCATCATTCCCTACTTCGTATGGGTCTGTTACGCCACGCTGCTCAACTATGCCATTTACCGAAACAACAAAGATCTCCCCGAGAAGATCAAGAATGACAACTAAATGAGATGGAGAACGTCGCCCGTAAACATCCGCTGAGAAACTCAGCATCTCGTGTCAGCGCAGATGTACTTTGTAGAATCAAGTTTTTGGTATCTGATTTGAGCGTACATTGCGTGAAAATATCCCGACAGACATTTGCCGAAAGAAAATCGAAGAAAGCAAAGAGAAGTATCGCTGCAAAATTTTTCTATCAAAATCTATCGCTTCTTTTTACTTAATATTATTGTGTTAAATATTTTATAGCGAAGTTTTTTTCAATATCAAAAAAGATGGCGTGCGTACAAATAATTGAAAGACTTCGATCAACTATTTTTTTTCCTCGGCATTTTCTTAGAGCGAGAAAGGGACAGAGAGCGCTCGTTTCTTGCTACTTCATTTTTGTACAATTATTGTTGTCAGCTATTCGCGATCGTCCGACGAGAACACGCCTTCCATTGAACGCACAACGCCGTTGGTATACAGCTTTATTGATCGTTGTACGAAATAAAGATTAGTTGATCAACCACGTGTACGTACATTATACAGTGTACAAGTACAATACCTTAATCGCGCTAAGTTTTAATAAATCATATATAAAGAAACGTGGGGAAAGTGGCGTGGGAGGGGGAGGGTAGGAGACTTTCACTTTCTTTATCGTCTATTCGTCTTTCTTATACTCTATTCCGCGCGTGTGGTAACTACGGAGCTTTCTTCCGTTTGCGTAAAATTTGGGCAAAATAAAGTCGGCCGCGAGAATTTTCAGCCCCGCCTTGAAAAAGCTGATGTGGAAACCGTTGCGTCGTCCTGGAGATTCTTCAATCTTGCCTTTTGTACAGAATAGGGCAGAGTATATTACACAAAAGAGATATCGAGTACGATGATAGGGGCGGCTGCTCGGGCGGGACTCGTTCCCGGCGGCCGTCACCGCCGCACTCGGCTGCCGTGTTTTACAAGCGCTACGTGGGCTCGGTTGCGTAGATATAGCCTTGCTGCTGCAACACGTACAGCCGCTTTTCCACGGCCTCTTTGTCTGAAATTATCAGCGAAATTTCAGTGAAGAACAAATCGAGAAAGCAGATTCGCGGAATATATTTTAGAAAAAAAGAAACGAAAAGGAACAAGATACACTGTTATGTATAATAGATATAAATAAAGTTAGAGAATTAAATTTCAAAAATTTGTCAATAAGATTTCAAATAAAATTGAAGCAAAATTTCAAATCGTGGAAGCGTTTCACGCTTTTGGTTGAATAATTTTTCAAATTTCTTTCGGAAACAGATTTGACCAGAATAAATCGTAAGCATGGAAATAGTACATACATTTGATAAGCAGAGCTCGGTCCTGGCTGTGGCTGACATGCTGCGCTAGCGAGTGCAATAATATCTGTGCCGTGTGATAACGCTGGAAACATTCACCGCCTTTTCCGAATAGCTCGTCCAGCGCCGCTGATTGACACTGCAAAAATAATTACAATTAAATATCAAGTTAACTATCAACGGCGTAAAACTAATATATATTCCATTCTATCAGATTTTCAAGATAGAGAAAGGAAAAAAGATGATTAAAAGTTGCATTGACGCGGCTAAAAAGGTAAAAGCTATTTTTATGGCAGTACCATGTGAATCGCGTGATTGTATAATATTTTATCCGCTGTGGCTCCCGTCTGGCGAAGAAGTCCCGCGCTATTCAGCTGCTTGCATTCCGTCAAACACGATTTGAACTTCTCATTCATAGTGCTGACAACTGCAATATGAAAATTTTCATTTATACGAGTTCAACTCGCGTAGCTTCATATATTTATAATACATTCCATCAATATTTCGCTAAAAAAAAATTAAAAAAAGGAAAGAAAAAGAAGACTATACTCTCCGAAACGCAATATCTTTCTTCCCGAGTCACTTACCTTCCTTTACGGTAGCCGTCGGTTGCAATCTTCCAGCTTTGAGTTCCTGAGTGGCCAGATTCAGACCGGAGCTGAGCCACTGAAGAGCGCGAACCAGCAGTATGACCTGCTCGGCGCGTTTCCTGGTGGCCGCATTGCCGGTCTGCTCGATGCTGCCGAGCGGCACCGGCTGCTCGATGTTGCCCAACGGTCCGGCCCGCGACTTGGCGACCTCGCACACGCACTCGCACAGCGCCACGACAAAATTCAGCTTCGCCAGGATCTCGTTGTGCTCGCGCTCCATCAGCGTCTCCTCCGGCAATTCCGGCGCGATAAACGTCAGCGGACGATCGTCAATCGTCGTCAGTGGTATGTCGGGGAACAGGTTTTGGAAACTGCCGGCTTCTACAAATGATCAATTATTAGAACAATGATTACAATAAACAGTTTACAGCGGAGTGTGGAATAATTATGTTAATTCATGTTTTGTTTGAGCTCTCAAAGGATAGAACGTTAATTGAAGAGATGCTTGGATTGTTAATTTGTGAATCGATAACTATTGCTGACAAGGAAGGTTGGCAACTTGAACTTTCTAAACAATCTTTACAGAAATACACCTAACCTAACCTAATCAAGAATTGTGCAATTAATTTAATAGATTACCCGATATCTCCGGGAGAGTAACAGCTCTGGTACCAAAAGGTATGACGGGCGAGTGCCTGAGAGTATTATTGTTGTCCTGGAAAGCTCGCGAGGTGGGCGACCCGAGCACCGCCAGCGGACCCGTCAAAAGCGGCGAGGACGCGCTGTTATTGCCCGTGGAACGTCGCAACGGCGAGGTGCCGCTCGGCGTGTGCGAATGCCTCGCCACAGGACTGACCTGCCACGTGTTGGGTGGCGGCGGCGTTTCGCTCAACCTAATAGTCAATAAATTAATCAAATTAATATCGAGAACACGCCGAGTCTCACCTACAAAAGGTTTGAAAGAATAAAATAAAAAAAATTTTGACAAGCACTTAGAGATTAGAACGTTGATTGTCATATCAAGACTTTAAATTAGGTGCAATTAAATTAAAAAAAAATATGGATTCTCAACTTAAGTTCTATCAAGCATCTTAAAATTAATATATCATTCTTTTAATTAATTAATAAAAATGACTTTTCTCTCTTTTCTTTTTCTAACGTTATTTTGCTTTCGGAAAGACAATTCTACGACGAAAATTTTGATTGGAATTGAAGGTATCCGAACCTTCTGCCAGGTGGAGTGCCGATGACAAACTGCACGCTGGGCGGACTAAGAGAACCGATGTCCGGTGGATGACTCCTATGGGAATCCACGCTGCGCTTCATGCTGATGGGCTGAGAACGAGGAACGCCGCCGGAACGAGCGGCGTTCGCCGAGGGCGATTGCTGCGGCTGCTGCGTCGCGTTTCGTTGACAGGGAACAGGAATCGGCTCGGAGATCGGCAAGTAGCACGGCCGAGGTGGACTGACGGCTTCCCTGCTCGTCTGTCTGGTATACCTGGCGAATAATTGTGAGAATACAATAGTGAGCAGTGATATAAAGCACAAAACTGATTGTTAAGACATTATTTCTCATTAAAGATTTAAAATTGTTGAAAATAATCAACGATAGATGCGAGTCTAATACACGCGTGATCTATGATTACGAGCGGCGTTATATCGAGCCTCGCGATCGATGATTCGACACGCCACACGAATCTCTCATTTCTCTACAGATTGCACGATAAAATTACGAAGAATCCTAAATGATATTTTAAGATATAAATCAATACGTTAAAACGTTTGTCACACGTCTGTTTTTGCCGGTTTGTAAATTTTTATTGATATTTTTAGAAAATGCAAATATCTTGACTCTATACGATAATCATCTCGGAGCACGAAATACGTTTGGTAAAAACCTTGTGTAATGAATGTATTTATGTAAAATTAAACAAGTAGGTTCCAATACGTAAAGCAACATTACATACTCGCCCAATTTCGATAAGCATGGTCGGGGTGGACTGACAGCTTCCCTGCTCACTTGCTTGGTATACCTAATAAATTATCCCAATCAGAAACACTTGACAAAAACGTTCTTACACAAGAAAGTATCTAAAGATATAAAAATATTCGAAAATAGGAGCTACTTTGAGGACGCATCTCGATTATTCCTTTTGATCTCCAATTATAGAATGTATTGTATAGAATTTCTAACTTTAGTCGTTTCAATCTAGCTTGCGCTCACTTGACTGGCGGGTTATTGTCGGTGTCGCTGCTGATGTCGCTCGGCACGAGAACGAAGTCGTCTTCGGGACTGGAACACGGAGTCTCCGTCGTTTCGGGCTCCGACCTGTTGACGATCGGCGTTCCCTCCTCAATCGGGATCGCCATTGTTCCCGGCGACGCCGGCAGCTCGATCGGCACCGGACTCGGGCTCGGGCTTTCGCGGGTCCCCGTGAGAAACGCATGGCCGAAGAACTGGTCGAAGTCCATGCGATCCGTCGCTTCGCGCCTCAACAGGCCCATCAAGAGATTGGTCAGTTCGGGCGATGTTCCAGGTGGTATGCTGAAAAACAGTAAAACGCAATGCTCTTTTTACTATAATTATTTTCTATTAATTTAATAAAAAGGTTGAAAAAACGCATGAAGAATGCGCCGTTTCGTATTACGTCGTGAAGTATTACTTGTTTGCGCACCTGGGCACAAGATTGACGGTATTTTCGTAAATCGACTTGAGCGCGTGTGGATTGCTCGCGGGATGCGGGGCCTTCCCGGTCAGACACTGATACAATATAGTCCCTATGGACCACAGATCTGCCTTAGCGTCGTACTGGAGAGACATGATGACCTCGGGCGCCATGTACATGGGCGATCCGCACAGAGTCGCGGCCATCACGCCTTCCTGCAGGAACCTAGCAAACCCGAAGTCCGCTAAACGGCAAAAATAGCACATGTTAATTAACGGAGTTAGAGAGAATCAAGAGTAAATTGAACTAAAAACGCATTGGAAAAGTTCTCACCTATTTTTAGAGTTATTTCGTGTGGCTGCGGACACGCTTTGCCACAGTTGTGATTTAACAGAATATTCTGTGGCTTGAGATCTCGGTGGACTATCCCTTTGGCGTGCAACACCTTCATTGCGCGAACCAATTGTTTGAGAAATAGTCTGATGGTATCCTCCGAAAGAGTACCCTTCGCTATTAAAAGGATACGGATTATTTAAGCGTAAAAGCATTTGTTTCGTTTTATTTTGACATGTTGATTAAATAATTCTCTCATTGTAATTCTTAAATACACCATTTACCATTTAAGTAATCCCCCAAATCTCCACCATTACAATACTCCATAACCAGGAAGACATTATTACTAGATTCCTGTGGACAAAATATTAATTTCAATGCTTTTATCATAATAATGAGTATATTTCTTCATATAAATGCAATAGTCTTACCTTACAGTCATACAACGCAACAACATTCTCGTGGTGTAATTTGGTTAACGCCTGTAAGTGATAAAACCATTATTTATAAATTTTTGCTACTTCACAATATACTTTCTTTGTTCAGCAGCTAAAGAATATCATGCCATATATTTATGATAATACGAAATATTTAAAAAATTTATTATAGATCTCTTTTCTTTTACATACAAAATTTTTAGAAAATCTGTTAAATGCACAAAGAACGTACCTTTAAGATTTTTATTTCCTTTTTCAGCAAGTCCTGTGACTTAGCCAACGCCTTCTTTGTGATACTTTTAATAGCTACTACCACATTAGGTTTCTGTAAGAAATAAAGTAACATATGAAAATTAATCTATTAGAATTTATAATTGTACATAAAAAAATGTCACAATTATAGATTTTAAAAAATTTTAGAACAATTATTTTTTGAGATAAAACCAAACTCACAAATTAAAAAAAGTTAACAAAGTGTCATTGTGTCATTTTATCAACTCTGAGAAAAGCAAAGTATTATTTTCTAGGAAGAATCCTATTCTGAATCTCTACGTTATTCATTTGGACAGAGCTTCATGAAGAAGATTCAGAGAATTAAGAAATCGGGACAATTAGAGCAATAAATTGTCACAAATAAATTATAATATAGTGTTAACAAAAATTTCAGACAATTATCAGGATTGATCAAGCAATCTCCGCTTGCACGAAGAACGTGAAGAAGGCTTACTTTGCGTTGCCTGCCCCTGTAGACGACGGCGAAGGCGCCGGTGCCGATCAGGTCCTTCGGACTATACTCGTAGTCGCCCAGGTTCTCCATCTCTTTCGATCTCTACCGACGTACTGATGTCCACGGTTCAGCAACAACGCGGGGATACATCGCCCACGATCGGGGATCGATACGCGGTCGTCGCCGTCGTTGCAGATCGTTTGCGATCCAGAACGACTTGACTTCGTCGAAAGCGAGCGGATAAAGGTTCGGCGTGACGCACTGGATCTACATTTCATCCATTATCGTCTGCAAAATCGTCGTCGGTGTGTGGCGTCGAATCACCGTTGCGATTACAGGAACAACGGGGCGGCGGTGACGGCGGGCAGAGTGGACAGCGGTGTTGGCGATGTAGGAGAAGGGCGACGGCGGGCACGGCCGAAAACACAAAACACCACGAAGAAGACACACGCACCCCGCCGCGCTGCTCTCCTCAGCATTGACGCAATCGTCGACGACCGAGGAGACGACGGAGAACCCGACGTTGTCGTGGGTGTCACGAAAATTGTACAAGAAGTCGCAAGATGTCGACACTGAAAGATGACATTTCGTATGGCCGATACGCATAGGAGTCATGTGTGATAAGACGCGATGTGATAAGGTTGAGAATTGAATTCAATATTATATCAATATCGATTCTTGTTACGTTTCTCACGAATAGATTGGCAGCTTGATAATTAATGTTATTGTTATTTATACATAGCTATCTTTATTTTACAATTTATGTATAATTGTAGATCAGCAGAAAGTCTCGAAAGCATTTTTAGTCGGAATTATGGACAGTGAAATGTGTGGATAAGAAAAAGTATTTGTTTTGAATAAATATAAACAGGTTATAGCAATGCAGCTTATGCTCGGTTTGTAAATAGCTATGCGTATAAGAGTACTCATAATTATTTTTGCAATAGTGGTGCGCTGCGTACGCGGCATAAAATGTACCTAGACGCGGAGAATTCTTTTTTCAAGGTTGGCAGCACTAGCTTTGCGTCTTTCCCGCATGAGGTCTCAGTATCCACTTTGGAACTCCGTTTGCTCGGTTTGTCACTCTCGTGCACCCTTAAAGAGAATCGTTGTAAGAGGCCGAAAATTGCAACGATCAGAAAAATCTTGCTCGTTGCCTGCGCGAAAGTCCTCGTGAGTTTTGTTTTTCTTCGTCAGATTCTCGTTTTCGCGTTCTCGTTCGTGAGCGGCGAATGGGTTGCCGGGATCCGTGGAAACACTGTCGGCTTTTTTGGCAAGTGCAGGTAAAGTGATCGCTCGTTGATGAATGCAGCTTCGTTCGAATGAGCGAGATTTGCGCAGCGCCGCGCAACCGGATCGATAATTGATTAGCGTGTGCATTACTCTAACCTAGGTCTCTGTGAATCCATTGGATTATTAAACACTTATACACACATGCATATACGTATATGTAAAATTTGTATATATATAAAAATATATATATATGTATATTCTTGACTCAATATCGCGGAAAGATTCGTCCAATGCAAACGGTCAATTTTCACTGACATAATTTAATCAGCGAAACACTCCGACGGTGCGTTGTGGTGCTTGTGGCTTCTTTTTACGATCAGAGTATGATATTTTGCAGTTTATATGGGGAGGAAACAAGTTGACCGAAGACTCGTAGATGGTTGAATAATAAATAATCGCATTGCCTTGATTTAACGATTTATGAATGTACACAACGATATCTTTTTGCAGTGTATTTTTATGTTTAGATCTATACTTTTATGAGATGATTTTGTCGTTAATGTATTTGATTGGACAGGTTTTTACTGTAAAGTAAATTTAACGTTCCGTCCATGATTGCATGCTGTAGTTTATAAATCTAGTTATTAAAACACGTATTTATGCAGACATTTATTTCAGAGATTTTTATAACAATGTATTTTTTGATATAAAAACGCGATATTTTCTAATTTTTACGTATTTTTCTTGATTGATAACATTATTACAATGTACGCTTGATGTAAATTTGTCATTTATATTTAATTATCAATTTATAATTATTTATTATTAATTATAATTATCAATTTAATTAGAGCATGATTTACAGGAATAAAACAAAATGTACAATGGCATTGGACTTCAAACTCCACGTGGTTCCGGAACCAATGGACATGTTCAGAGAAACTGGGCAATTGTGCGTAAAAACAAGGACAAGGTTTCTTACAAAACTGAAGATGCAAAACTCGACCAACTGAATAAGCAACCAAATAAAGAAATTCTAGATCATGTTAGAAAGAGAAAAGTCGAAGTCAAGTGTGCCGAGTTGGCGGATATTCTGGAGAACCAAGGGTAATTATTTGTTGATTATATAAGATAATCTTAAATTTCTAAATTATATGCAGTATTTTGTGACACTTTTTAAGAATTTTGATCTTAAAATAATATTAAATCTATGAATATATTTTATAATTCTATCTTATAACTACTTTAATTCTTTTAATGTTTTAAATTCTTATAACAATTACCAATAATACGTATCAAATTATTCTTGCTAACAAAGTTGTAGTTAAATGCTCTAAATGCCTTTAAAGTATGTATTGAAGCCAAATGGGAACAAAGCAAATCCTATTATACTTTACAATCTAATTTAAATCTGAAAATAATGAGCTTCTTGAGAATTAACAACAATGCTTCTTTCAGACTTGAATTGTTCGATACAATATTTTTATAAAGTACTGAATATTTTACAATACGCGACTATATATATATATATATTATAAAATTTTAATGAGTTTACTATCAGTTTCTAGCTGAAATAGTTATGCAATAAGTGTAGAAAGGATATAATTGAGAACAAATATAATCTTGTTTTAGAACAAATATAATTTTAGTCTTTTATTGTATAAATTACAGATTCACAAGTGAAGAAGTAAACAACAAGGTGGAATCCTACAGATCAGTGTTAATGGGGAGTGATATCAAATCATCCACGCCGCATGATGAATTTGGTCGTGTTAAGTAAGTACATTTTCATTTAATCTCTTCTCTTATTTTTCTCTAAATTGTTACTAAATTGTCACTAAGCTATATAATGAATTATATAATGAAACGTAATATAAAGATTTGAAATAAAGTATAATCATAGATAATTAAAATAAACTAATTGATATAATATATAAATAAAGGCAAAAAATAATTTAGCTTGGATAAATTGAGTGAGGGAATATAATATATAAATATTTGAAATATATCAATCAGAGTCTAGTGAAAACTGGAGTAAATTACATATTGCATTTAGTAATATAAAAAAATGAGAAAAAATCGTTTCATAAAACGTAGTAGTTATTTTCTTTGTAGAAAGTGCATGAAATTCTAGAAGAATTTTTCTCTTTTGATTTCCGTCGACTAAATCCGAGATAATCCCGACGTCGTGGATGCTATATGAAACGACATATAATATTAAAGGTGTCTGAGCTTCTTGGGATTCCTTCGGGATTATATAATCCTAAAGGAAAGGAAGGCTTTGCGTGAACGCAATATCGTATATCGTGAGAAGATGTGTACTTATATAAAATATTGTCTTCTTGAAAATCCAAGAAAATATTAGAAAGATTTAAACGTTTTTAAATTATTTGTTTTTATAATTGCGATTTGGAATTCATCTAGTTGCATGATTTTTTATATAGCATATTAAATATAAATTACGATCAGCAATAATATGTATGAATTACAATCAACTCAAAGATTTGAATGAGTTATAATATTGAAACTATTAATATTATTAAGATAAAAAAACATCATTTTTCGGGGAGAACAAATTAACTCTACAGCCTCGTATTAAAATCGACAGAAAAGAATTCCGTAAGAAGTATAATTTACATATACTATAATAATCGACACGAGGTCGCTTACTAGAAATAATCGCTCTCTGCGAGCGAGCAAAAAATTCAAGGTTGAGGAAAATTGCATAAATTCCGAATTCCACCCGAGATGCGTGGAATATTGCGAAAGGGCGGGGACGCGTTGCATCGCGGCGATCTTGTCGGGATCGGGGGAGGAAGGATAGGGTGTTGTATTCGCGATATCGACGTATCCCAGGGCGCCGGCGCCGCGACGGAGAGAGGCGCCGCGAGGGCGCACTCAAGGGGGACGGAGAAGGAAAGATGAAAAGGCGGGTGGAAGCGCAGCATCCCGCTCGGGCCGACCTTTCCTCCGGCTCAGTGCGAGGATGGATCGGCGTCACGGCGCAGGCAGCGGACGCGTCGTCGTGTGTCGTCGTCGACGGATGGTGCACCGGGAGTCGGATTAATCCGGGGTGGCGCCGGGGTGACCCCGCCGGGGGAGGAACATGTGACGCGACGCGCAATCCGCGGACAAATCACAAAAGTCTTCCATTAGCGTTTAATCTAAGAGTAGCGCGGTCGCTAGATTCCGCTTCTCTAGAATCCTAAGTGCTAAGCTCCGAGTTGTGTGTGTATCGCGCGTATAGAGTTTAAGTCTAGAGTTAACACTTTTGATGGGAGCAAACGGCGTTTCGCGCCAATTAAATATATAAAAGATATATAATCGAGGCGTGCGAGAGGGAAAAGTCTACGAGGGGGATCACGCAATTTCTCGCTGGACCGATTAGATAATGTTGGGAACGACGGGAAGTCTCGAGTGAACGAGACCGGAAAAACCGCAAGAGAATTCCGCTGCTTTCGCTAGACTAAGTTATACAAATGCACGTGGCAAAAAATATATATTGATTAAATGTTAGATGGCTGCCCAAAGTGTGATCTGAAATAAGAAGCCTGCGACGAAGATTGTTGGGCGAATCGCATTGATCGGAAGAATATAATTCCGGGATTCTGGACTTTCGCGATGTGCAACGAGAAAAGCACGAGATATAATTTAACCGCTTGAACAAGAAAGAAGAAAGGAAAGCTTATTCGGGAGAGGAAAAACTTAGATTCGTAAAAATCCAATCTTTTCGACACTTTTAAGATTTATACGCAACAAGGACATTTTGATTAAAAGAGAAATTCATATGAAAAGGATATTTTAATTAAATATTTCAATTCGCACAACAACTTTACGAAGAACAACGCGTCTTTTCTCGCAATTGTGGTTTTAGAGAGAAATATTAAATCTTGATCCATGTGTCTCCACTTAGAAAAGACGGGAACTTTTTTCTACAAAAATCCATGTGTCTCCAAGTCGTCGATCGCGACGATGCTGTGTTAAGGGAAACGTCCTGCTTTTTAGCGAAACGGAGAAGCACGACGGTGATTGTGTGCCTGATCTGAAGTCTTCCTGAACTCATAGTAAGAAAGTTCGCCGATATATACGGATATACACATATATATATATCCTATTCTTCCACGATCGAGTAAGATCTAGCGATCCAAGTGACATAAATATATAATAAAACATATAACGTAAGATAATAATTGTCCTTTATAACAATAGAAAATTGTAAAAACGTAATGATAAGCGACGCACGGAAATGCGCAGTGATGGAGGAATAGAAGAAACATCGACGACAAAACAAGCACTCGGATGTGAGATGACAAGAGTCATTCGAGGAATGCCGGTGTGAAACGACGCGTGCGAAGGGAGAGACGGGACCTGCCATTGTTGTCATCGCCGGATGATTATTCTGGCTAGGAAAGCCGGGATACAAAAGACACACGCCGGCCGGAGAGGAAGAGAGGGCTATTACCTTCGTCTCTTTATCCGCCGCTCCTCCCCTCTGTTCCCCCCTCGCGAAGAGATTAAACGTCGGGCGGCTATTTGCACAACGTGGGCCAACCGACGGCGCTTCCCGAGTTCCGCCAACAACCTAATCAGCCAAGATTATTCACCGTTGGAACTTCCTTCGCTTTAAACGGTGGAATAAATTTGAGGAAACGAGATCCCGGCCGGAATAGCGATCGGCTGGTTTTAAACGGAATTGCGGGCCGCGGATTATCAGCTTGGAGTCTGCCGAGAGATTGACAATTATCTCGCGCTTTACTGCATCGTGCGAAGAATTTTCAAGAATCGAAACGGTCAGATTCCGCAGAGGATCCTCAGAGAAGCTCGAGACTCGACCGGTCATCCGCGCCAGCCTTCTCCGGGAAGAATTCTCAACGAGGAATCGGGATCCTCGAGGAATGACGATGTCGGCAACGGTGTCGCCGGCGAAACCCGCGCGCGGACGCGGTCCGGCCGACGGCCGGGCCTTCTTCGAGACGTTGTGGCGCGGCGGCAACTTCCTGCTGGACCGGCAGAAAGTGCTGAAGCGCTGGCGCAAACGCAAGCTGCACCACGCGGCGGCCAATAACGGCAAGAGGAGGCAGCAGCAACAGCAGCAGCAGCAGCAGCAGCAGCAGCAGCAGCAGCTACTGCAGATGCAGCGTCAACATTGCTGTTGCTGCCAGCGCATTCAGCTGCACCTACTCGCCGGACGGCGAAGCAACATGCGCTCCGTCGTCAGGTGAATCTTATCGCCGAAACGTTAAAGTCGGACCAAATTTTTCGAAACTTTCCTCGCGTCTTTCGTCCACGAATGACCACGATTTCTCTGAGCGAAACGCCGATAAAATTTAGACGAAAATGCGACCAAATATATGATTCTGAACGGAAAATCTTCGTGTTAATTTCGTATGGATTTTGCTTTAATTGGGATTCCAATTTGGAGATCGGTTTTCCAACGGCTTCGGTTGGCTCGGGAAAAGAATGATTTATTCCGCTCTCCGAAGCCGATGCTCGGCGATCGACTCGGCGCCGGGTCGACAGCGATTCCGGCGTACGGCGCAAAGGGGATGCCAGAAAAGAGAACAGCTGGATTGTATTGATCCGCCGTGTTCCGGCGGCTTGCGTGCAAGCGCGCAGGGGTGGCTCTCGCCCCCGGCATAAGCCTGGTTCGCCGCAGGAAAATCGGAGAGGGAGAGAGAGAGAGGGAGGGGGGAGGGAGGGAGAAAGAGAGAGAGAGAGAAGGAAGAAAGGGGGGGTTTGCGCGATTCCCGCCTGCCGTTTCAGTCATTCTGTAGAGCATTATGTCATTAACGCCCCGAGGCCCGTTAAGGACGACGCCGACGCCGTTGCTTCGCGGCTCTGTATAGTGTGTTTCTCGCTCGAAGTATTCTCGCCGACGAAGCGAGTCAGCCAACGATGACGGTGAAGATCTCGACGCGGTACGCGATCACTTCTTCTTCCGTCCACGGGGAAACTTCGTCCCGATCTCAGTTGTCTCAGTCAGCTCGAAGTCGAAATGCTTCGCGATTGATATTTGGGAAAGGGAGATTCGACCGTTTTTTACGCGCCGCTTTTCGCGTGTGGGCGCGACGATTAGCGCGCTGGGTCAACAGCTGTGACATGTTTGGCGAGATAGCGAGATAGTCAGAACGGAAGTTGATCGCGCGGATCGGTGGGGGGGGCGTACGAGAATAGTCACGGCGACTATCGTTGCTATCGGCGGCCGAAATGAGCCCGTTTCCCTCGCGAAACTCTTTGTCTCGATAACGCGGCGTTGTACGTAATTAAGTAATGCCGAAAAGGCACAAAATCGCGGGGTCTCGAGGAAATTTTCCGAGTAGAGCAATCGCCGTTGACCCCAATACGTTTCCTCGTCCGAAACCCAGTATATCGTATAACGTCAAATTGAGAGGGGAAAGGAACTTCTCGAAATCTTGGAACGAAAGAAAAAAAAATCGATAACTCTATCGGAAAGAAACCTTCGGGGCAGAAGTGCACCAGCCCCGACAATTTCCCCTCGCACGAGCGTCGCACTAATGTACGCTCTTTTTTTTTTTTCTCCTCAGCGTGCGGGAGACACACCAGATCGCTGAGGCGCAGCAGGAGAAGAACGCGAAGCTGCGCGAGGCGTTCGGTATCTCCGAGTTCTTCGTGGAGGGCAGTAGCTTAGACCCGGAGCGGCACGCGCGCGAGGCGGAAGCGCGAGCCGCCGCCGCCGCCGCCGCGAGCAAGGTCTACGAGCTGGTGCGTACGCCGAGCCCGGTGCCGCCGCCGCCGCTGCTGCCGCCGCCGGACACGACCGGCGCCGCCGTCGAGAAGAAGAAGCGGAAGCGCTCCGGCAGCACGAGCGCGAGCAAGAAGAAGAAGGCGAAGAAGCACAAACGGGAAAGGTACAGCACAACGTAAACGGTGCGCGTACGGCTCCATGGAGGCTGGATTCGATCCCATATTACCTTTCTTTCTACTACTCTTTCTTTCTCTCTCTCTCTTTCTCTCTACCTTTCTCTCTTTCTTTCTCTATTTCCACTCTTTCTCTCTCTCTCGTTCTTTCTCGTCTCTTTGTTTGTTTTTTTTTTTTCGATTATCGGGCTCCCGTTTTCGAATATAAAATGCGAATCGAGGCTCCAAGACCGCGCACACCCGCATCATCACAGAAACTTCCGAAACACCCCAAAACAAACGAGAAAAGAAAGCGAACCAAAATCCGTGTAGAAATGTCTCCTCTCTTCCTCTATGATCGGTTTTAATCGAGATTATTCGTTTTTTGCAAACACTCGTTCTATCTCTCGTTCTTTCTCTCTCTCTCTCTCTCTCTCTCTCTCTCTCTCTCTCTCTCTCCCTCTTTCTCTCTGCTACTTCCGGAATAAATTAATTATACGCAGTCCATAAACATGTTATGGGATTGATGATAAATTATTAATTACTATTCAATTAATGCATCAATTATGTTAAATTATTATTAAAACACTAAAATAATAACATTCTAATATTGCGATAACACGATTTGTGAACGACAGTTCTTTGAATAAATTTCAAAAGGTGCATAATAAATCTCTTCATGCTTTGTCGGCGAGTTTACAAACAGCTAGAACATTTCGCGCATTCCACGTTCTCAAATTCGCCGATAAGCTGTGCACGTGTCCGCACCGATGAAATTCATG